CTCTATAAACTTTCGAAAATATTGGAGGATTGTTATAACTGTTGCTTAGTCACCATAAAAATACCCTTTTAAATTTTGCGTAAAACCTCTCACAGCAAGTACCAAATGACGAGGACCACACTTCAAGGTTCGAGTTACGCAAAACGTCGACTCACTTGACGTAGATCAGTTACATGCCGACATTAAAGTAGTACTGCTTTCTCGGTCCTTTATCAAGCTCTGTACCCAAAACCCTTGCACGATTGGTTCTTGTATCGCTGCAACACTTTTGATATTAACTCTACATTTCTGAACTTTGCCAACATACCAGAACATGGTGTGCGGCATTCTACAGAGAATAAAACAGTTAGCGCTTTGTTCGTTTATTGATTAGAAGCTAATACCAAGACAACGGATGTGTATACCGCTTATTAGTCCTCGTACCACCCGGTGTCGCGAGGTTGACAAGCAGTGGAGGCTTTGATGGTGAAATTGAGTGAGGCATCCTAGTGTCATGCGATACCACGCCCTGAGTTGTGCGGTGATGATGAGTGATTGTCGTAAACCACAAGGACGTGGGGAACGTAGTATAACTAGTGGTAGAGAAGGGGACCTAGAGTAAACCCCGCATCAAAATCATGCATTAGCTTAAGGTAAGGAACACCCTTTAGCTAACTGTACAGTTAGCGCAGATGTATGCAATAAAAAGTTAGGTAAGTGAAGATTAAAACACCAAATAGCACGGAATACGAAATAATAAAACAAGTGGTATAATGATAATAGTCATCTACGCAGGTTAGGAGACACCAAGTCTAACGAACGCGGTCGGATACAACGTCCAGCGATCCAGTTCGAAGATGCTTGGCTTGTCTCACGGTCGTGACCTTGGTTCAACTAACGCCAGTTACCGCGCACTCAACCAGTTAATTGGCTCAGGTAGGTATTCCATGCACACCTACATTACCTCAGCTTTCGCCTCCTAGGTAAGGTGAGCTTCAGCAATATCCGGCTGGTTCGCGTCTACCAACAGATACGTGTAGAAGAAAGTGCCGTTCTTAAACAGCGGCCATCACCATTTTCCGCTTGGTTGAATTTTTAAGAATAACTTTCGGACTGGTCAACGCCGCACATACTTTCCAACGCTTCATTCAAGAGGTCACTGGTAGACTAGTCTTCAATTATTCCTACCTGGATGACATTTTATTAGCCAGTTATTTGAAGAAGAGCGTCTCGGCCAACTTCAAGCTCTCTTCCAGCGCTTGACCCAACATGGTGTCACCGTCAAACCGAATAAGTGCGAACTCGACAAGTCAAAAGTCAATTTCCCAGGCCAACTCGTTTCATGTTCTGGTATCGGAGTCCTTCCTGTTAAGGCCCATGCTATCAAGGACTTCCCAGCTCTGGGGCCATTCAAGTATCTCCGCCATGTTGTGGTTTGGTCAACTACTATCGACGCTTCGTTCCGCGCTGCGCTCAGCTCAGACAGCTTCTGACTACCTTATTCAGAGGAACTTAACTTTAGTTCGCCTTTTCGGTCAGCCTTCACCGAGTTCAAGGATGCTTTCTCCAACATAGCACACCTAGCTCATTCCGAATCGTTTGCACTCATTTCTATCACGACTGATACTCCAGACGTCCCGCTAGGAGCCATCCTCTAACAACATATTGGTGAGCAATAGCAACCCGTTGGCTTCTTCTCCAAAGACCTGTAGCCAACGGAATCCCGCTACAGCACCTTGGGTAGAAAACTCCTGTCCATCTATCTAGGTATTCGTCACCACCGGCTCACCTTCGAAGGCCACGCTGTTTTGGTCTACACTGACCCAAGCCACCCATTTTCGCCTCATCTTCGACTCGGTGTTCGACAAACACGCACCTCAGGAAACTAGGCACCTAAAATTTGTCACACCGTACACTGCTGACGTACGCGATGTCTCAAGTGCCGAGCATGCAGTCACTTTTAGGCGGGACGAACTTGACATATGGCTGCCGAACAATTCAACTATAGACGGCCTGCCTTGTCCTAGGATCGTGCATGGGAGTCAGTTAAATCAGTCCTTCATAATTATTAAATTCGCTGTCATCCCCGGATGAAACTGTAAGCTGGACTAGTCCAGTACTATCAGTGGTGTCATTATTAGCAACAGAACAAGGCTCAAATCGGGATGATGTGGCTGTTTGTTCAAGTTACTTAACATTTCATCAAACCGTTCGGCAACAGTGTTTCCGTTTGTTAAAATCCGTCTTAGTCTTCTTTCTCTGTACACGTGAGTAACGGATCTTTGAACGCTGGAATGAACTTGGAGCATCGTGGGTGCGTGTTTTTATGTCTCTGACCTTCCCAATGAGACACCTTTGAGACGAATTTCGGTCACTCAGAAAAGATTGTTCCGTATTGCTTTAGCACGCCCCACGTGAGATTGTCCCTGGTCGCAAATGCTGTCCACCATCAGCGGAATGATAATAAGGCAGGATTAGCGAGCAAAGGCCACACGGGAAACATTTTCCAGTGACAGAAACTCGTCCTAAATGTGTCGCAATGGGACGGCCAGTGACACAAACGCGGTCACTTACCGCCAATCTCTCGGTCTCGAGCGCTGTCTGAATGAAAACTGCATTAAAATAATGATTTACAAGTAAAGACAACTGGCGCTAATATTGCATCATAATGTTTTATACTATCTTCTGACATGTAACGCCAGTATTTTTCTCATTCTGCTTCTATCTACGAGTGACTGAAAACGTGCCAAAATAGGATTTTGGCAACCCATCCGTGCGGACAGACCAGGAAAATATATTAAAAAAGAAAACATTTATCAGCGTCGTTGCCAGAGCACCTGTTTGCATATGGCAGTCATCTACCTAGAGACTAGAATTGCGTAGCTGGAATAGAACATGCGGAATCTATCCAAACCAATGGATTGGAGAGCCCCGCCTCGTTATCATCTCGGCTGCTCTGGCCAACAAATATTGCGCCCTCATTTCCAATCGTGGCCTAATATTCTACTGCTTTGGACTAACCACCGCCTAACTGGATACCGAAAGATGGCGCCAGCGTTCTTAGCACAACCATAACTCGCTTCTTCTCACAACTAGTCACGTCGCGTACGTTTACCGAGAGGTTCTGGAAAGGATGATATAACCCAATTGGTACACATCATATAGCACCGAAGGCACACTTTATTGATAGATGAAAACCATGGGGACAACATAGAAACTGGTTGAGTCTAATGACTCCACAAATTCTCTATCAGCGCAAAGTAGCATTAAGTTTACAAAAACAGACGACGGGTTATTTGCGCCAGCACAACCACTAGACTACACTCTGACGCTCAGCAGCAATTTTACGTTGCAGTTTATTAAAACCGGGCTTCGCAAATTAGTTGTCAGACTCTCAGCCAGTAAGCAACGGTCCCAATTTTTTCCCAGTTAAACTGACTAGCTTGAATGTTGCATACCCAAAGAAAGCTCTTTATTTGAGATCACTTTGTCATTTAAGCGTTAGCGCCAGTCCAGTCATGTATCCCATCAGGCGGGATTGACGACAGTAAAATGGCCTTCTAGTAACCGTAACATACAGGAAGTACGTCCACAAAACTACACTAGACCCAACAGATGAATTGTTGGTACGGTTTCGGAAAGGTTAGAGTCCCTACTTTTGTCCAACAGGGGCCAGTGCAACTATGGCAGAAAGGTACTAAAGCTTGGGTAAAACTTTCCCGTTTCGTACGCAGTTACGGTTCCGTTTAATTATGTCAGATATAAGTAAAGAGCAAACAGATGTCGCCGAGTACTACACCGCAATGTCTGCCGCCATGGTTTACAACTATGACGGGGCACGCGCACCATGCAAAGCGGCGCGTGACTTCTACGAGAGAGGTGTAACCTAATGGGAATTGTAATGATTTGGTTAAAGTTACCTCCCTTGACTGCTAATATTATCCATTTGCACTGATGTATGTGTATTGGAGCCTACTGGTTAATCTTCTTGGAAATCAGTTGCTCTGTTTCACGGCCCACCTCTGGTTGCGCATGTTAACCCGATTGTCTTTGTTTGCTTGATCTGGTGACCAGATAAACGTCTCACACCACCCCCACTTGTTCTGCACTTATTCAACGGATCATCCTCGCTGCATTCTCGCGTCACCTATTCCGTGTTCCACGCGCGTATTGTTTGCAACTAGACCAGTTCTTCAGCAATATTAATCCGTCCTATCAAATCTACCACACCGCTTTGTCTGAGGAATACATAGGGCTGCACAGAAAGTAGGTTAATTTTTCAAAAATAATTTCGGTTTACGGTTGGTGAAATCATGTTGATAAGTACTTGTCTTCAAAACTTCCTAAAACTTACAACAACTAAATGTTTTCCGTGACGGCCCATTAGTCAGTCCGTTTCTGTCTTTGTGGACGTAACACTATCCAAACTGTTCATTCAATGGTGGCAGATTAACCCTTACGCTTCTGGTATACATCATAGTTTTGAACGTGGTCATGCCTTAGTTATTTTACTGTCACTGCCACAGAATAACATTTGAACTGCATAAGCAGTAACTCAAGAAGTAATTCAACAAACATGTGGACCGCACAGTACCGGTAGGTCTATGCAAATCAGTAGGAAAGAACAAGATACGAGAGGTTATAAGAGCACAGCCATCAGATGTTGACGCATAAAGCACACGCACACACCACAGTCCAAGTGATGTTTGACACGTATTGACTCGTACTGGAGGAGCAGTGGTAGGAACGCTTTGAAGTCTGCTTGAAACTGGTCTAAGTTGGATGCCAAACTGATGACCGATAGCTAAGTGAGCTCGATGTAACAGTATACAATAATTTGTATGCTTATCTTGCCACATGAAAGCTTTCCCGAGCCAAGTATTTGGTCGTCATTTCTTCACACTAATGTTTGGGTACAGTTAGCACACCATTGCGGCTGTGCTCTATTAATTGGACAGTGAAAGTTCATCAGTGGATACAGCTCTTTTAATTTATCTGTGTGTGAGCCAGCAGCAATGTTTTTATCGGGTCAGGTGGGAAATCTCTGCCTGACGGTGCGAACGGCTTACCATTCCCAAAGTAAGATGATCTGATACAGAGATCTGTGTGGGAAAAGTGAGGAGGGGAGCAGCGTTCTCTTGACAGTTGGCTGCCAGTGGCGGACCAGCAATTTTTGAATGTCCCATGTTCGTCTCATCATTCGTCGTAGAGAACACTGTGTCTGCATATATTGGAACTTCTTGCGATACCGATTCAACGCATGGGCTAAATGGATGCAATCTCTGCGGAGAATACGAGGTCCCATGTGAGCGCAACTGTTCGGTGAGAAAGGAACCTGTGCCATGAAAAAAGACGAAAATGGAAGTGATTGGTGTGATGAAAAGGTAGCTGCAGTCATTCATCCCGCAATTGCTAAAATATACAATAATAAATTAACTAGATACTGTCTCCCAGTGTTTCAAGAGTTATAACAAAACGAACTGGTGTTCAGTGCTTTTTTAGCTGTGCAGTTAATGTCTGGTTGAAACCACGCGCAAAGATCCCACTAGATAATTTGCGACTACGGATTCTGGGGACAAAACATCGTACTTAATGATAGGACGTGGTCACACGTTGATCCTCAGGTAAGATGCCTTCAAAATATACCAGCATCCGATATGCGGCTTTGATGTTGAATCCTATAAAATAGATTGCGATCAAAAAGCTTTAGCTTTCAATTACACTGTGCAACAAAAGTATTTATTTTCTATACCAGAAATGCTAATGTTCTTACCTAATAGAAAACCCACTGCTGCATTTATAACTGTATTCCGATGTTACTTAGCACGTCAGCTTACACTGTTATAAGCAAATGATTATTTTCATTAATGTCAGGACTACCTCTTGCGAAGTATGTAAATGTACTGAATCACAACATATACAGGATACAACTACATGGCAAATACGTTTAAAACATTACTGAAACACTCGCGGATAACTACTGCCTGCAGCTTTGCACTGGGAAATGATGACTTCGCCGAGATCCTCGCTGGTATGATCCAGCACCGTCACGCTACAGAAACCAGCAAAAGTCACCCATCAGATAAGGCGTATAGTTGCCGTTGTGGCGCTGTTCCATGACTAATCTCTTGAGGAAAGCGCTCACCATGCTCCTCGCTAACCGGGTCCAAATACTCAGGGAAAAAGTCAAGCTGATTATGCAAAAAGTGCATCTTGAATGACATATGATCAACAAAAGCCCCATAGTGCGCAATGAGCGCTTCTGCGAAGTCTTTGTAGTTCTCTACCATGGTTCTGCCCAAAAATCCTGTACACTGTCTTGCATGAGCTCTACGCTTCTAACTCAAATGCAATCAACTGACATTCGAAAGGACCGTCTGCCATTAGCTGGTGAATATCAGGACCAGTGAGCATCCCTCTCGCATCCCTGACCTTCGGAAACATTTGCTCCAGGTACTGAAAAGCAAAGCCATCTCGTTTGAGGGCTTTATGAAGTTTATACTCAAAGCAAGCTTGATGGGCAGGGGTAGTAGATAGATATGTTCAGGTTGCACAAGAGATATATGCTTTACACTCATTGTTTCTGCAGCTTACTCGTCCCCTCTGGCCACTTTTCGGTTATGTAGTGCAGTTGAGTTGTTCTACTGTCCCATTGGCGCAAGATACAGCAGTATTTTGTGGAGCCTCCTTGCATACCCATTAGGAGTCCAACGACATTGAAGTCAGCACAGATGTTCCAACAGTACTTATCGTAGTTCACTGAAGCGAGTAACTGTTGCACACTTTTGCAAGTCTCCTTCACGTGGGTGGCATGCAACCGAGGCAGAGGTGTGTACACATTTCCATTGTGGAGTAGTATGGCTTTAAGATTACTCTTGGACGAGCCAATGAACAAGCACCCTCGCTGATATGCCTCACGCTAAGCTTCTTCATCAGTTCTTCCAAGTCGGAACAGTAACAAATGGGTTTTCTCAGGTCATAGATATCGGGAAATTTAAAACCGCTTTCTGTATACAGTAACCTTAGTGTTTGCAGCAAATAAGTGCCACTGCTGCAGTCGAGACGCCAGCAACCCAGTCTTGTCTTTAGGCAAGCCAAGGGCACGTGTCAACTCATTCAGCTTTGAGTGTTCAATAAGACTTGGGTAGACGACAACAGCTTCAAAGTTTTCACAGATGTCAGAATCAGTGGAATTTAACGATGCGGAATCCCTACTCACCATCAATGTCATGTTCACTGGAGGCACTGGAATTAGTAAGGTGCAATTATGAGGAACGGGTTGAAAAGATGATGGAGGATCGTGGTAATGAATTTTGTCCTTGTTTCGGTTGGAAATCCCAGTGACACTGAGTAGGCAAAAGTGGCAGTCTGTCGTGTGATCCTTCGGCTCCCTCTACACTATGGGGATTGCAAAGGGCAGCTTGCCTTTGCCATTGAGCCACTGATTCAGATGAAGATTGCATGACACACAAACCATATGCGGCGCCCACTTATTATCTTGATCTCCTAGTTTCATCCCGAAATATGTGTCGCAGGCAGACTTCAGTATTCAAGAAATGGGTCTGCACTGTGGTTTTATAGTAAACAGTTCACAGACGTAACAAAAACGATTTCGTTCATTGATACAGCTGTGTCTTTCAGTCATGATCACGATAGCAATCAAGAAAACACTGCTTTCAATCGAGATTCAGTATCAGATGGATACCATGGCCAAGAGGACTTATTTTCCACGATTACGCAGAGCGAATGGACCAATGACGGACGAGCATTCGCTTCGTGGAACGCACTGCTTGGCAAAAATGGAAAACTGATAGTAAAAAACCAGACGTGATGGGGACATTTTGTTTGCCTATTCGTAATCTGCTCACTTGGTACTAGTGGAAACAGCCTATCTCATTCTGTTATAAAAATGATCTTGCACATCGTTATTCTTCCAACCCCAGCGCAAAAAATTAGCGAGGCGGCTTCCAGAAAGTATTTCATCCCTGCATGACGTTCACCGTCGTGGTAGGTTCACAGATAACGCATAGATCAGAAACCTAACTTGCGAATAAAGTAGTTCTTTGTAAGTTGGCCAACCAAATCTCGGCTTTTATTATCCTATTAAATTACCCTAACCTGCCTTACATACGTAAAGGCCTGATAGGAACCATCAAAACGAAATTTCTTCCCTAACCGTAACACGTATATTTCCATAGAGACATTTAGCAATTTGTGAAGACGAGGTCCGCTTAGCTTACTCTGTACGGAGTAAATTTAGATTCTGGTGGAATAGGGCATCAGTCAAGTAGCGAAACTAATTTGGCCGGGTTATTCTCCTCTATAATGGCTTTTGCTTAGTTAGGGAAAACTAGTCTGTTATGCAATGGTTGAGCTTAGTATCATGACAGATGACAAACCACTCCGGAGTACCATTCTAGTAAAACGTCGGCCGGTGGCCGAGTGGTCTGCACGTTTGGTTGGTAACCATAAGGTCAAGGGTTCGAATCCGCGTACGGTTGGGCGTCCTCGCGGTATACTCAGTCCGCGTGCGACTGGTGGTAGTCGCGCGGCAGTGAAGCGCCGTTACGGCATACAGCTGACACATTATTTGTTATTATTTTTCTAGTAAAACGGACCAGGTCCGCTTCACAGAATTCATAATTCCTAATTGTCTCATGAACCGAACTGTGTTCTTTTAGTAAAAGGCCCATCCGCTTTGAAATCCAAGTAACATTCGTAATTGCGAAAGTCACATTCTCAGGCATACTCACCAAATTTGGTAAGGAACTACAAGCCACACTTATTTCAAGTGCTTCAAAATGACGCACGAACACTTCCAGTCAGATTGTCACGCGTTTCGGGCACAGTATAAATTTTATCGGTGTGTCCTTATGCCCTGCACATGGTATGATGAAGAGGATGAACGAATCCTGAACATGAAAGAGAGCCAACAGGTGAACTTTAAACACAGAAGTTCGAAGGAGTGGTAACTTAATTTCGGAAATGTGCCGGAGTTTGTGTTGAAAGAGTATGACCATAAATGCTAGACACTGCCGTCGCCAAACATTTGACCTTACAACTGGCTTTTACATTACTTTTAGTGTTTTGGGATGCAAGAATTTGAAGAATTCGGTTCATAAGTTGCCAAACAACATCCGAATACAGAGATCGCTGTTACCGAACTTGCAGGTTGTTATGATAGCAATCCCCGTGTTTTTTCTTCCACTTCACGCAGAAACCCGAGAAGCGGAATTCCGACCACATTCCAGAAGCACCCTATTCAAAGGTAGACATTAAAACGGAAGTATCACATCCTCAAGCGGTCAGCCATTCTGTAACCTGACCTTACTTGAAACTTCGGAACTAATATATTTAATTTAGTATTTCCAGCTTAGCAAAGAATTGCTACAAATACGTCCAATGCAGTTTCGCAACACATGCACAGTCGTAATAAGAAGTAGACTGTAACAAATAACACCGAAAATATAGCCTTAATAAAAAGCATAATTTGCCCCGGATCATACAAATGTCCCGAGAGGTAGACGTTTATTGGACTTCAAGCTAAATCCGGCTATCCTATAGGAAAGCGTACGTGCAGATGACAGCGGGTAGTATGAGGCGTTAACGTAAGCGAAACGACAGGAAGCCGATCTAATAACACAAAATGGCACCAGTGAGGTTGTGACAAACGAAATGACCAGCTTGCTCAAGTGCCAGATAAGATGTTATTTTGTGAATCCTGCAAATTATGCGGTATTCCACAGGAACTACTCCAGGCGCTTATGTGAGCACTATTGTAATCACACTGAATTGCTGCGGCTTAAATGAAAGATACCTGTTTCATTTGCTAATAACTGCAGAGAAGCCACAACCAATATATCTAATGCCATTACTGATAAGGTGTCTAAAACGAAACAAAGTGATCTATCAGCAAGCCATGCGCATACAGGACGCTGTTGGATCTACTGGAGAAGGACATGAGCTACGTAATTGGTCTGGGTAACTGGTCTGGTCGTCGTCTGCCATTCTAGCTCTGGATCACAAATGTCACGAGGATGAAGAGACACACAGCACCCAAGAAGAGATTTTTCATGCTCCGATCATGTATAGAGCCTAACTCAGTTCCTTTCAGGCATACACAGCTTTGATGCTCATCCGGCCCCTCCCAGTTACACTAGTAGTTCGTTAGCAAACTTCCGACTACGTCGATGATTTGATCAAACGGTTTCTGATGTGTATAGCTTCGAGTCAAACGGGAGGTTAATTAGACCACCGAGACCCTCACCAAATGGCTAATATAGAAGGATGAAAAAGTGTGTGCTGCTTGAGGTCTGGTGCACTATCGTCCGCCCA